TGACTCTAATTATCCAAATGAACTCAAAATATTAATTCATTTTTCTGTCATATAACAAATATAAATATTTTCTACTACTTGGGATAGCAAAAAATTTAAAACTTGTATTATCAGGTTGTTTTAAAATAGGAGAACGATTACACACTGTTATAATAATTAGGGCATAAGTGAAATACGTGAATTAGTTATATCTAATGAAACAAGTTTTCTTCCTTTAGATAGTCGGGAAGGGTTTTGTATGGACCAAAGGTAAAACCTTGTTTCAGAGTCTACATGATAACCACTAGTGTGTAATTTCTCTCTCATTTCATTTCGGCCTTGAAAGCCAAACTAGCCTCACATGAGTAACATGAAGAAAAGAAATTTGAAAAAAAAAAAACAAAAAAAAAAAAAAAAAACAACAAAAAACAAGTAAACGTTAAATATTGGTCAAGTCAGGTTTAATGCACTGGCATTTTTATTTTAGAGAGGAATTCAATGATAAAATTCAATGGTAAAAAAGCGTAAATGTATTGTGATTCTATTTGGCATAATCTACTGAGTTATCAAATATAAATAGGAGAGTTAATTTATTATATATGCTCACTTGTCCCCACACGAAGGTTCGGAGAAATCCGGGGATCCGGTGCGGCAGGGGTCATATGTCAATGCCCGTTAATGGGTAGGCCCTTATCATATTTCAAGATAAAGTTTAAATCGAATAATGGTCATCATATATATGATATAATAATTCAAAGATAATTTAAATTACCACAAATATCAAAACCAAAGCAGTTTATTCGTTTCCCTCTATGTTTGATACAATCACAAATTTCGTGCGTTCCGTATCACAGTTGGTGATATTGTCTTGTTCAATCACGTGGTGATATGGTACTAAAAACCCCGGATGAAATAATTCTGTAGTATAATAAAATAACGTATATCACGATTGCGGCAAAGCGAACTGTCTGTTTCAGAGCAAAATGTTAAAATATGAACATTTTGAAGTGTCATTTCTATTTTTTTCAGCTATTTAAAAACCTATAAATTATGAAATAAGGTGCAAACCAGCATATCGTACATACATCCGTATTATTAATAAATCATACATAACATCATTGAATCTGGTGTACAACAAAACTGTTTGCATGAAATAACAGCGTTCATGTGAACGCTTTTATATGTGTTATGTAACTTGATTATTGTAAAAATAAACATTATGCAAAACTTTCCATTTTAGCACACTAAAATCTGTTGTTTGTTTTCTTTTTCCTGAGAACAAAGAGTGTGTTCTTATATATTAACAGAAACATTAAATTAGAATTTAATCTGTAAAATCCAATGGTGATATCAATTTAATTACCCCAAAGCCGTTAAATCTTAACTTTCAATTATTCTATTCAGTTATATTATTTTTAACCTCAAATTTTCATTTATATTAACTGTAATTTTTCAGTTTTACGCTAATTGATAGATGAATGTAAGCTTGCTACAGAGGTTTTCGTGGCAATTTTATATTTTTCTCTGATAAATCATGACGTTTTACAATAAGGAATAACTTTATGTGGTATTTAAATTATTCAAGAGTTTTCAATCTAAAAGTTGTATAAAGTAAAGTGGTTAAGCGACAAGAATGACATAAAACAATGGTTATAATTCTTAACAGTGATCTAGTCAACAATTTAACTACTCGTGTTACTACTTAACTTTTATTTGAAATAAAAACTATAGGGTTGTAATCTAAAAAAGACACGTTATTGCATTCATATAAATAGAAACTAAACCGCCCATTGATGCACCAGAACAGTAAGTCTTGATTTTAAGCAATATTTACGGATACATATACCTTTCGCACCATTTTTCACGGTATTTATTACTGACGTAACTAGGACGCCTGGGGTGAGAAAAAAACCCATACAAAAGTACAGATACAATTAAGGATTAGTTGTGATTTCTGAAATTTGTATTGTCATATAATTTAATAGATTCTATTTAAGCTGTAATACTTGAATGTGAAGAATATTTAAAATCTAGATAAAATTTAATTCATGAAATATTTATTTACGCAAATTTTGTTATTTCACATATTTTCATGGTTTGACTCAGAATGATTAAATAACCTTAATAAGTATTCATATTTAAAGACATACAGCTTTGTACGAATTTGTTACAAAAAATGTGAAAAAAACATGCTGTTCTAGATTTCGTCCGCTTTTTTCCACAGCACTTGAAATGGATAACGATAATTTACTTATTAATACGTGCAAAGCTTTTTATAAGTTTGATATGACTGCGTTTCAGTTGCGTCATAACCTGGTGGGAAAATCACTTTAGACTTTGATTCGAACGTATCAAATGGAGTAAAATACGTCTGTAAGTGCACGTGCTCCGATATCTACATAACTTGATTGAACCTAGTCTTCGCAACGTGACTGAGTATTTATTGATTCCATGTGATAACATATCAAAGTGCTAGAATATCAGCATGAATAATTTTTGACAAATTTAAAATTTCCAGAGATTTCCAGAGATGTTTTTATCTCTAAATATTATTCTAATATAATAGAAAAACGAATATTTACTGTCTCATTCCATTTGACTAAAATGATCCAAATAAACGCAAAACAAAAACATTCACACTAGCATAAATATCAGGATGAATTCGGAGTATTTATATAATTATCATATGTACTATTTAATATGTATATGTATAATGATTACGTACTTACTGTAAGAGTCTTGAATAAACTGTTTGTTCTGTTCAGTAAGGGAAAGATGTAATGAATACGCCATCACACTGCATAATAAAGGATTATTTTCTTTACTGCGGATGTAATGGTTGCAAAGACACATAGCTTATTGTCCAAAAAACACTATATCAATTAGGCACTATATCAATTGGTACATATAAGTTCAGCAGTTTTTTGGATAGATCCAAGGTAAGATTAACACGATAACCATGCGTCAATTTACATCACTCTCATCATATCGGCCTTAAAACCACTGGCCTCTAGATGGATAAATGTAAACAAATAGAATTTCAAGTAAACGGTAAATACAATTTCAAGTAAACGGTAAATACAATTTCAAGTAAACGGTAAATACTGATCAAGTTGGTAATATGTAAATCCATATTTACTGACATCTTTATTCAAGGGGTCATTCTGAGCTTATTTATGCTCGTTAATGAGAAGACTCTAATCATATATCAAACTCAAGTTATAATGGCCATCATATATATGATGCAATTTAATGAGAGTGCTACAAATCACTAAAAATAAAAATATCAAGCCAAAAGCAGTTTATTCGTTTCCCTCTATGTCTGATAAATCCCGGATTCCGTGACTCTTGTGTTTCACATGGTGATCTGGTACATAAAACACCCGGATGAAAGCATTCCGTAGTATAATAAAAGAAGGTATATCCCGAAGGCGGTAAAGCGATCAAACTGTTTCAGGGCAAAATATTAAAATAATATTATGTGAAATTTCTCTTTTTTTCAACTATATAATGTTTTTCAAGAGGGCTTTTGAAATATAAGTAAATGGAGGCCTGCTGCTTAAAACTTATGCAAAATATTTTGTAATGTGAAAGCCATTAAATAAAATTTCGAGGCAACGAACGTACACTATACATACATTTTTGAACCAATATTTAAGGAAGATTTTCTGGCACACATACACGTTTGTTTAAATGTTCACACATCTTCATGTTTCACAAGACAAATTATTAAGACAGCAATAATATAATTATCGTAGTTAAAATAATGCGTTGCAATGTAATGCATCTAAAAAGAGAACAATCAAAAGTAATAACATATATTAAGTAAAGTTGTAACGCCACCTGTACTCAAATACAAAAAATACCTTCAATATGTGTTCAAAGATGTTCACCCCAATCCTACATAATATGAAATTGCAATTATGTTTATTAATCACATATTAATACATTTTTGATACAAACGATTTGTCCGTTTAATTGTGTACTGTAGGAGTTTCTTCCATAGTGCAGTTGGTCTGTGTACCGGTCGTTATGCAAATTTTATTTCGAAAACGTACTAAAGGCAACGGATAATGTCCGCCAATTTTAAAAGTACATACATAAATCCGGTTTTATCAGCTGTTCACCAAAATATTTTTTGATAATGTTGATGTATTATATGCCATATAATTGTATACAGTGTATCAGGCTGTAATTTTTACTATATTTTTTATGAATAAAATGTTGTTTTGTTTCTAGTTGATCAGTTTTATCACCTTTAGATAAATCGCTCGCAATATAATAACTCTAACCACTTGTTCAATTCTTCTATTAACAGAACTGATTCGATTTAGGTAGATAAGTTTACTGTCTACAATGTATGAGGTCTTTTGTTCCTCTTATTATTTATTTTTCTATTATTATGTCTTCCCACAGTTTCTGTATATGTACTGTGCACATCAATAAACGACATTTACCATCTGACAGATATATCATTTTCATGCAACAATAAAGTATATTTTGACATATGAGTCACTATTCCTAATACGTTTTACTCTTGCTTTTACTAAAAATGTTTTTTTAATTTTTTATTTAAGTACGACATCATTTCATTTGGTAATATATTCAGTTTATGATTTGGTATCTATAAATAAAAACCACAGGAATGTCATTGTTGTCGTATGATTTGTAATTTAATTTTAACTGCGCATGTAATGAGGCAGTTTCCTTATTTAAACAATATTTCAAGTACCTTATTACATCAGGAATTGTTGATATACACGCTACTGGGATTGATTATGTTATTTATATTAGCGGGATTGAAATAAAAGTTTCAAAAAGAAAATTGTATGAGAAATGACGAAACCATTTATATGAACATTTTTATAAGCTAGGCACAAAAGGATATATAAATATATCAAATAACCCATTTTGATAGACTGAACTAAAATTAGTTATTAATTTATTTTCGGAAAATTAATTGTTACCTTTTCGGAGAAAAGCAATCATAACACTATTTTAGTCACGAAACTTATAAATCTTTATTTACTTCATAACAATACACACTGCTAAAGAATAAAAATGCTATTGCGACATTTCAAATATTTAGTTGTATTTTACATCCATATCGTTTTAAGACAAGTCTTGATTATGAAAAAGAAGATTAAATAATTCAAATTTTGATAACAGCAAGAGTATCATCTAATACTAAGGATTCTTATAAATTGTATAAATAGGATGATACTATGGAAAGATCGATCGTATGGTTAAGATGGGCAATCATTTAATTAAGTTAAACTAAGTTAAACTAAGATTATGGTCATTTAAAGATTCTACTTATTTCATCACCCTCAGCATCCCTCCTCTAGTCATGTTTTTATTTTATTCCAGCATTGATGTTTCAAGAAAAGAATACTGCCGTTATTTTACACTAATATATATATAAAGAACGAAAGTTATATTACATAGAAAATGTGTTAAAAATTTATGTGTATTTGTGCGAAGTTTTATATCAAACAACAACCTCGCATTCCTATTTTCCGAATTTCACAATATTAAAATGAATATTAAAAGAAAAATTTAAAGAAAGCATCTCATCTCTGATTACCTCTTATGATAATCTACTTTTCCCCAAAATTTATCGAATTCGAGGAAATACTAATGATCAAGATTTATACAATTATTGCGTTATTGCATTTGATCCTACTTCTGTATATCAAGATAAAACAATTTGCTTTATTGAAAGTTTTCAAAATATAATGAAAAGTTAAAAACAATAATCATGTTAATGACAACCCAGTTAAATAATATACTAGTACACACTCATTATACATTACGTTTACTTATAAAACGCGTAATGCATTTTAATACATTCGTACTTACGATATCAGCATTAGTCTTCTTATAGAAGAATGTATTTATGTATTCACATGTTTGCATTTTAGCTTTATAATATGCACAGTGTATAGAATACCAGTAATATCATCACAAAGACTGAACATTACTAAGTAAATATCAGTTGATGAAATACAATGGTAACTCGATAAAGCCTACCACTTAAGATACCACAAAAAGAATATATAACATTGTATATACAAATGTAGATTTTTTTGGAATATATGATAAAATATCCATTAACTACCAATATGCTGATATCAAGTCAGACAAACAAATAATGATAAAAAATAATAAAGATACAATTTTAAACAGTTATACTATGAGTTTAAATGTTCAACTTCAAACAATGATAAAAAATAAACGACGTGTTTCCTGCCTCAGATGTTATCTTCGTATAAAGGCTCAATTACTGTTCGAGGAGGGAAACGGTTTTTGAAGATCACACAAATATAACAGAAAGATTCTTAGTGAAATTTTGAAAGACAATTCAATTATAACCGTCATAATGTAACAGATGAACAGACAAATTCTCTAACACGGATATGAAAATACATTAGCACACTGTCAGTTACTAATTATTTATTCTTATGCATGATTTTAGTGGTTAGCCTGCCCATGCTCTGCTTGTGCCCTGTCCTGTTTCTGTTTGGGGTCCTCCTGGGCTCCTTGCCACTGGCTCTTGTTACTGGGTCGGGTGGGGGTTGCGTTCCTTGAATGCCGCCTTTCCTTGTTGTTCTTGATTATCATATTTTTTATTAGATAGCACGACGTTAAACGTTAACGTACAATTCGTGAGCTCAATCCCCGGCCAAACCTATAAAATATCCCATATTTAGAAATGACCGGACTTTAGTGCAAACATACGCTGACGAGGTTGATTCTCGGTTACCAGTTGTACAGAAGGCGGACAGACACTAACCCTCCCGTCCACAATAAGTCACAAATAACTTACATGTATAAAATATGTGAATTTGCTTGACCTATTCAACTGTTCGACTATTGGCCTAGTACTTAATAAACATGTATAACCATGAGTCATACCGTCATGGTGTTATATGAACAGTTACATGTGAATGTATATTTCGTGTGTATCCCTAAAAGTTCTTTGATTTGCCCTTACTCTTAATTCTGTGCTACCAAATATGAAAACTTCAGACACATTGCTGTCCTCAGCTTTCAATCTACGATTCATCGGAATTACAAAACTTCCAATACATTCACAACTATGATCTGTAGTGAACATTGGGTTACGACTTTTCGATTTAAAAATTTTCAATTCACCTCGACATTGATTATTAAATGCTGCCTTCCCCACTCTTGACACTTCATGTCCATCCTTTATCACTTCTCCTTTCTCAACTGCCTTCCAAAATGAATCGATGCAAACTGGTCCAGCATGTGAATTCCTTCGTTTGTCCGATGGGTGTATTTTAGGATCAAATGGAACAGCAATTTCAAGACCGTATGTAAAACGTGCGATTCGCGCAGTAACTATCGATGGATTTTGCCCGAAAAGAACAGCTCCTTTCAATACAGCAAGACCACATTCCGGAGGGATGAAAATTGATTTGTCTGCAAAATGTGCCTCGAAGATACCTTGTACGTAAAGGCTTTCAGAAAAACCACCTACCAGTATTATTCTGCTGACGTTTCTCGTAGATTTCTTTGATAAAATTTTCTTCACATTGCCAATGACCTTATCTACCGGATCTGCAAAACATTTCTTCAAAAGTGATACATCAATTCGTAACTTGCCTCTATTCAGTACAATTTTGTTACCGAACAAGTTCTCAGAAGTATCGCTTTTTGGTTCGTAGTTGTCTTCAAGACTTCTTGGGATTTTAATGACAATATTATTGCAAGTGTCTAACTTGATAATTCTTTTTTGTGTTTCAAAGTCTCTTTTCACGGACAACAAATCTTCTAACTCGTTTTCTTCGAAATCTTTCCAATGAGATGAACCAAAGAAACTTTTCATCAATTCAATGAATTTTTTGTCTACTTCTACCCCGCCCCATGGCCCTCCAGTTGGTTTATGTATTTCTACAAGAGTATCATTTGATGGCTGTTTATGAACTGTTATATCCGCTGTTCCACCTAAAAATATTAATATGTTTCATTATCTTTTGAATATCAAATAAATAAAACTGTTTTCAAAAATAATCAGAAATGTAGGTCTTACAGATTTTTTATTCTTGATACATAACTATTTTTCTTGTAAAATATTGAAAACAAAGCAATAATATCAACACAATTACATGAACATTGCAGACTGGATTCGATTCAGATTGAAATTAGGGATAATGAAAAAGTGCAACATCACTTACGCCGCTAAAACTGGTACTGAAAAAAGATTCACATAATTATAAAGATACGTTTTGTTATTACCTCCTAAATCAACGATTATGTTACATGTTCCAACAGTAGAAATTGCCAAGTCTCTATGTGGAAGCTCTGTTGGTATTCTCTGACACCAAATTGCCGCTGCTTCAGACTCAAGTGCTATGATTAATTGGTTGTTTGGAATTCCAGCCTACAGTGAAATAAAGAATTGAATTAAGTGTTATAACTTAAATAATAGCAATTACGATCAAAATGATACAAATATTGAGTTAAAAGGATGTTTGCTTCTCAATCTGACTGAAGTTCAGATCTACCTATTTCTTTCATGTAGATCGGATCACGACCGCATATGTTTCGCCTTCTTTCTTCGGATTTCCCGAGAAAGCTTTTTTCCCAGCCATTTAACCGGTTTTTACAGATATGCATTAGAAGAAGTATCAAAATACCGATTTCCGTGGAAGTTTAACAAATTGTTGATTTTTGTTAGAAATGAAATAATAGTCGATTTTAAATGGGCAAGATTGTTTTTTCAGTTTTATCTGTCGGCCAACAACGCCATGTTTGTTCTCGAAATCCTGAAAATTACCACCTAAATATAAGTTTTCCCAGGGTTAAAATTAGAGAACGCATCACTTTCAAAATTATGAAAGCTCGCCGAAGAATGGCTGAGTGAAGTGTGCAAAGTCACTGAAAATAACTACGGTAACCTTTCTCGTCACAGTCATATCTAAAAGCGATGCATTTATTTAGAACTTATTTTAATCAGACTGGTTGTTTCTTTACCTTTTTTATGCTCCGCGAAGGGTGAGCATATAGTCGCCACTTTGTCCGTCCGCACGTCCGTCCGTCCGTTTTTCTTGTCCGGGACATAACTTTTATCAGGTATCAATATGAAACTTTGTAGGTAGATAGATCTCATTGAATAGGTGTGCAGTGCACAAGAACCGTAATTCTGCCTTGCCTAATTTTTGAATTATTGCCCTTTGTTTATTTTTACACTTTTTTAACTTTGTCCGGGACATAACTAAAAGTATAAAAGGTATCAACATGAAACTGTAAAGGTAGATAGATCTCATTGAGTAGGTGTGCAATGCGCAAGAACCTTAACTCTACCTTGCCAACTCTTTGAATTATTGCCCTTTGTTTATTTTTACACTTTGAACTTTGTCCGGGACATATATAAAAGTATAAAAGGTGTTAACATGAAACTGTTTAGGTAGATAGATCTCATTGAGTAGGTGTGCAATGCGCAAGAACCTTAATTCTACCTTGCCAATTCTTTGAATTATTGCCCTTTTGTTTATTTTTACACTTTGAACTTTGTCCGGGACATAACTCTAAAACTGTAAGAGGTATCAACATGAGATTTTGTAGGAAGATTGATCTTATTAAGTAGGTGTGCAGTGCACAAGAACTGTAACTCTGCCTTGCCTAATTTTTGAATTATTGCCCTTTGTTTACTTTTTATACTTTGAACTTTGTCCGGGACATAACTCTAAAAGTATAAGAGTTATCAACATGAAACTTTGCAGAAAGATAGATCTCATTGAGTAGGGGTGCAGAGCACAAGAACCGTAACACTACCGTGCCTATTATTTTTTAATTATTCCTCTTTGTTTATTTTTACACTTTGAACTTAGTCTGGGACATAACTCTAAAAGTACATGTATAAGAGATATCAACATGAAACTTTGTAGGTAGATAGATCTCATTGAGTAGAAGTGCATTGTTAAAGAACCATAACTCTATCTTGCCTGTTTATGGCACTTTCTTTAATTTTACTTTTTGACTTTTGTCCAGGACATAACTCTAAATCTATTAGAGATATCAATAGATCTCATTAAATAGAACTGCAATGCTAAAAAACCTTAACACAGCCTTGTCTTATTTTGGAGTTATTGCCCTTTGTTCATTTGTACACTTTGAATTTTACCCGGGACATAACTCTGAAACTATAAGTGATATCATCACGAAACATCTTAGATAGATAGATCTCATTGAAAAGAAGTGCAGTTAAAAAAACCATAACTCTGCATTGCCTAGTTTTGGAGTTTTTGCACTTTGTTCATTTTTTTATACTTTCCTGTGTTCAAAACCTTCTCGGGGAGCATCAACCGGTTCTTGTGATTATAATTTTTATATAGCTCTACATACATTTGGGATATTAGATTTAAAACTCATAGTTGCACAAATCAGATTTTGCAATTTTGCGGTGTTTAACAAACACACTTCAAAACATAATAGAGGTATCAACTTTAAATTTTATTGGTGTGTTATTGCTCTTGGTTGTTTACATCTATTCTTTACTACCGTCCAAAGCATAACTCAACAAGTGTTAGAAAAATGAATAAACATCTTCTTAGTTAGATATATTCTATTCTGCGAAAGTTCAAACTTAAACTGGTCCTTCGGGATCATTTACTCCATGCACTTTTAAGTTTTGAAAATTAAGTACATGTACATTAAGCCGTTGCTAGCGGTTGTGGAGAATGTTGCACTTTTTCACTATTCCTCATGTACAAACTCAAACCGAGTTACAGTGACTTTTTGTATGGAAGTCAAAAAACAACTTTGTTTACATTTTTCTAATGCTCGTTTGCCTTTCTAAAGTAGGGAAAATAAAATTATTTGTTTCTGAGACATAATGTGCATTTATTTAGCCCTTTGGGTCAATAACGGCCTCACTCATAGTTGCTGATTTAAACTACTTGTCTGAGATGATTACACACATACACAACAACGTCAAGCTGAGACATTTGAAATGTTGAATGTCCCTTTGAATGTTTAATCATTCTGCCGGGTCAAAAGTGTCATTCCCCAATATGGGTATCTGTATTATATATACGAAGAGAATACCTAAGAAATAAATAATACCTCAAAAGCTGCTTCACGCATGAATCGTTTAGCCATGTCATTCCAAATAGAAGGGACAGTCAAAACGTAAGTCACGTCAGTTTCTTTTGAAAATGTTACTCTTTTCCGATATGTTGCATAAAAGTTGTCTTTCAAAAACTTGATTGCATTGGCAAAAACGTTCAGTGCAGGCATTTTCTTTCCAGATATGTCCTTTATTTGAGTGTTTCTATTTATATTCTGTAAAAGAAATAAATGATATTCTGAATATTATGATAAATACTTAAAACTCCCTATTTATTTGAAAACAAAAAAATGTGTAAAAAATAATTCACGTGTGATATAAAGTCAATGATCGTTTAATGAAACTTAAATAAATTTGCCGAAGAACTCTGAGAATATTAAATCTCATCAAGAAGAAGTAACACTTTAGACTGTGTTGTTAATTTCTGGCCCTTCGGGTTCATTGATATCAGTAGTTTCTAGGTGATGCAAATAAAGCGCCCGCTCAAACCGATGCCAGGGGGGCGTGCGTGATGTTTCACTTTTACATTATCCCTAGCGTCACTTAATCAAATTGAGACTGTAATTGTCATGTAGTTTTGTTGTGATTAATGCTTCCAAGGGAGGGCCACACTTTATCTAGATTTTAAGATATTTATTGCACTTTACATTTCTTAGCAATTGTAATTACAAATAAAGAGTTACTAAAGGTAAAACGTGTACGTTTATATACATATAGTTACCTTTAAATTTAAATCCTTAAGGTTATTTCTAGATATAGAAAGCATTATCATTATTATGTTAGGAAGGGCTTCGTGTGTTTTTTTCAGAATGGATAAAAACAGGTTTTATGTATAGAAAAGCATCTGAAATGATTCCGTTTTGTGACGGTATTTTTAAGAAATTGAAAGAAGACTTCAGAGTAATAACCTGTGACAAATGAAAACAAAAAAGCACTTTGGGGACTAATTTAACCTTTCACTGTTGAATTATATCGCTGTTGTAATAGATATAAAAAACACTGCTCATGTTTTATTAACATCCTTATTTATAATTATTTACTTTTAAGTACACTCTGAAATGATTTCTTACTTTTGACATATCTTTTAATGCTTAATTCATTTTACTTTCTAATCTTAATTTAATTGAAATTAAAGAAATAGTGACCCTCCGAGTTTTTGGTCGTGTCCTTACAACTTTATCATGCTAATACTTGCTGACCTCCGTAAATCCTCCCTTACCTTTATTTCCAAAATAGATAAATACAGACTCCCTAAAGAAAGCCCAACACGGCAAAATTGAAAATGTTGCAGGCTCGGTTTGATTGAGCCTATTCATGGACGGTACTGGAAAGTGCAAGTTACCGTCCACGCCCCCTAGCAGCGGCTAAGCCTTATATGGCTAGATACTACTTTAAGGGTCTACGTTTATGAACGGCTTTCTCTTTATCTCCCCTTCTCTCTTTGTAATTTGTGTTTATAATTTAATATCTTCTTGAATTATTATTTAATGACACAGAACAGTACTAAAATGTAGTACCAATAACTTACATATTACTAAATAAAAAGCTCTAATTACGATCATTTATGATTAATAATATCAACATATCAGCTAAACGTATTGAAAACTTACGCGATCATCAATTAAAGCCATTTTGAATCTCTCGAAGAAGTACCATTCGCGGTGTTTATTTTCCTCGGCAAGTCTTACAAACTCTGTTTCCGCATCATATCCAAACTTTTTGAACTCTTTTTCCGGTGTAAATAGAATACATGATGAAGTTTTCAGAGATGCTAGCGTACCTTCTCCAGCATACCATGTCTGATTCGCATAAATTTTCTCAGGGTCATTTACTGTAGAATATGCCCATCCACTGAATGTTGTCCCTATATCAATTGCGGTCACTATGAGCCATTCCTTTGACGTGTTAGCATTTGAAGATGCAGTTGCCATTTTGTTCTGTTTCGTACTAAAAGGAATAGCAGATGTATAGATTGAAATTACATTTTCAACAACAATCTTTACAATGTAGTCCGTTTCATACAAGATAAACACTGTTCAAATAAGTCTTAAAAAGCGTGATCTTAAACATATTTCTTTTATGTGTTCTAAATAGGTTTATATAGAACACATTTAAAAAAACGTTAGGGTTATTTATGCACTGCCTAATTCAAATTGATTTTATTATTTTCACTATATATTCCTTTGGCCATTATCAGTTTGATAATATTGAAATCATGCGTAAAGTTGGTATATTGGCAAAAATGCAATACGATCTTTTTCTTTTCAATTTGATTTACCTGTACTTTGATTCAAGGGCGTTACATAATAGGATCATTTAAAAGAATAAACGATTTATCCTTGTGGTTTACAGACATGGCGGCTTATCTAGACTTATAAATATTTTTGTATTATGCAGTAATCTGGACTATTTCTTAACATTTCACTATTTGTGTATATATAATTATAGCAAACACTAACATATACTATTTCAGATCAATCAAAGCTGTAATATTTCACCGATGAATATCTTTAAAATTATTTCTTTGTTTTTTTTCAAGTATCAGATAACGTCGAAAAGAAGTTGTGTCCATTTTATATCTGCACGATTTAAGTATAGACTACTATTAAGCATATGTCATGCTTTTGATTTATTAGAATAGAGGGATACGTATATTTCATTAGTTATAAAATATGATTTTGTTCATATAAGAGAAACACTTTATGAAGCTTTTGTGACCTGAACATATTTTAGATATTTTTATGTCCCCACAAAGTGGGGAGCATATAGAGTTGCATTTGTCCGTCCGTCCGTATGTACGTACGTCCGTCTGTACGTCTGTCCTTACGTCCCGAAATCTTGTGAACGCAACTCCTCTTAAACCGAATGGTAGAGTTTGCTTAAACTTCCAGGGATAAACAACCTTAATGTGTAGATAGTATTATAGGAAGGAATTTTCGCTGCGACCAAATTTAACAGAATTATGGCCCTTTGTTGATTTTTTCACTATATACTATGTAGAAATTTTGTGAATGCAACTCCTTTTAAACCGGATGGCAGATTTTGCTTAAACTTCCAGGGATGAGCAACCTTAATGTCTAGATGGTAGTAAAAGAAAGAATATTTGCTGCGACCAAATTTAACAGAATTATGGCCCTTTGTTGATTTTTTCACTATATACCATAAATAAATGTTGTGAACGCAACTCCTCTTAAACCGGATGGCAGATTTTGCTTTAACTTCCAGGGATGAACAACCTTAATGTGTGGATGAAAGTAAAGGAAGGAATTTTTGCTGCGACCAAATTTAACAGAATTATGGCCCTTTGTTGATTTTTTCACTATATACCATATAAATGTTGTCAGTAGGGGCATCCTTGTCCTTTTGACACAGTTCTAGTTATCTTAAGATTTAACGTTTATAATTTCTTGAACAAGGCAAACACTTAATGTAATAAAATTACAAAATTTATTATGCTACATTTAATTATATGTATTTTTGCTACAATTGCATTCTAACTCTTAGTACGCCATTACTTTAAGAATCATTCAAAAATACGTTTATATTATTAGTTTTTCATACAATTAAAGAATGAATATACAAATATGAATGAAAATTGATAAATATATGAGCAAGTGTATTTTTAATAGTACACAAACAATGATTTAAAACTTTTTAAACATAAAATAATGACTTAAACACGAATTTCGTGATGTTTTACCATTTTTGAAATAAAATATTCTACAAAAAGTTGTGTTTTCCTTTCGTCCTTTTCTGTGTGTATTTTATGATATTTTTTTCAAAAACTGTTATAATGCTTATCGAAAACAGGATTGGATGTCTTATTCTGTACCTCGTGTGAATATTCAGAAAATACATATCTTCGGAAATAAGTCCTATCCACCTTGATGATTTAATACACTGCAATATATTGATTCACAGAGATTTACATTAAACTTCCGTTTTGAAATATAATGAAAAAATATAATATTGTGGAAATAATTGCTATATTTTTCTTTCTGTTGAATGCTTTAAGGGACAAAATCTGGGTTTAAACTCCACCTTATTGTCATAACCCTCTCGTCGGCGTGTTAACCTAAACGTTAGGGCCCAATCAGGAACTCTAACAGATATTCACTTCAAACTTGGTAAGCATGTTAATTGTCATGAAAGGATACAATTACCTAATGGCAGTTAATTCTAAAATATTTTTTGCAAAGTTATGCCCCCTTTTTAAATTAGGTGTCTAGCCCTGGTTAACCTTTATTGAATAGAATCATTTGCTCAGTTTATATCACAGAAATGTACTCCACGCTTAATATGCATGTTTACTATCAAACCTTAGGCTAGATAATCCTAAAAATTATTTATGAAAAGTTAAGTCCCCCTTTTTAACGAAAGATATACTTTGCTCCAATTTCGTATTTGAAAATACACAGTTACTTCGTAAATAAACATGTTTAACTTAACACAAGTAGGTATGATGTCACACTATAAGAGGTTATAATATGAATATAAGGTTAGAAAAACTGGTATTTTAAAACAAAACTAATTCTCCTTGACCTCTATTAGTTGAACGCAGCTTCAAATACATCATTTATTTATCTTTTATTCAATTTGTTCATATTTGGTAAGAATTACATAGATTTCAAAAAATATCTGTGATCATAGTTTTTTCCGCAATGATGAGCATAGTATATCGTTTTTTTTTTTTAAAGTCAATTTCTCAAAATTGTCAATTATTATCATTTTAAACTTAAAAAACATTTTAAGTTTTTCACTGGAATGCATCTAAAAAGGCCAGGTAACTTTCTAAAAGGCCAAGCAAGTATAAAACAACTCATCCACACATTACGTGGTTAAATGTTGAATTCTGCTTGAACCGAACCTGCAATATTTTCAGTTTTGTCGTGTTGGGCTTTCCTTAGTCTGCAATCTTTACCTTATTGAGACCTGATGGTATACGGTATTTTTTCATGTATGTAAAAATTGTTTGAAAACCAGTTTTATCGTTTTAAAAGATGTCCCATTCGTGTTTAAATATTAAAATAGTTTTGAGAGAGTGTTTACAGGGTCGTATCACGTTGCTGGCAGGATCTGACCCACAAGCGTCTGTGAGAAAATCCTTTTCCCTGAGAAAACTTACCCCTTCAGTTGCATATAATAAATGCAGAAATATTATAACTGTCTTATATATACTCTGGTTATCTGCCCCGGTTGAAATAACCAGAGAATATATATAGCAACAGATATATTTCATTCTTTTCTAAAATGCTACTGAAGGCGAAGTTCTCCCCAGGAATAGGGTTTTCTAATGGGGGGGGCTTTATTACCACATGGAGTTTGGCGTTGTGAGTATAAATATTACTTTCACTCATATTCCCTTGTAACCTCTCAGAAGTGACTTCAATGCTGTTATATTTTTCTGGTCATTCGGAATCATTCATTTCAGCACTTCTAAGTGTTGAAAATGGGGTACCGCTCAAGCAGGTGCTAGGGGCGTGAGGGATGTTGCACAGTTTCATTATGATCCTCAAACTGAGTCTGCAATTTTCATGTAATTTTGCTGGTTTTGTTGTTACGAAGGATCACTTTTATTCTAGATATATATTTGCTCTACTCCATCCGCTACAGCTTATGCTGGAAACTTCAGGAGAACAGAAGAAGAATTATCAATGCTTAGAAAATAAACATCTGTGATCTTAATAATCCATGGATTGTTTTCACGCTCATGAATCAAGATGATGCGAGTCTCAATAAATAGCTCATCAAGAATAAATTGATGCTAAGAACAATTCCAAAATGATAATGATGATAGTAGAGTGTCTTCTGTATGTACTGAAACTATGCGAGTGAATCAGTGGGCTAAGAGAATGTCGGGAACTACATTACGATGTAATAAAGATTACCATCAGGACATACTCTTTCTTTGAAGCGTCGAAAGTATGTATTCGGGACATCTTTATGTTCATAAAATGTTACCTTGACGGTTTGTCTTCAAGCCAAACTGCAATATTTTCTGGAGTTAACTACAAATCAATAGCAGTAGATTGGGTTTCGTTTATTAGTGACCATTTAAAGGCGCATTTTTCCATAGAAATATGAAAGAACACACATTCAGCAGGGAAGTTGAAATAAACGAATCCGTATTCGGTCGCATGGTAAAATTTCAAAGAGGAAATCGCAACAAAGGATTGAATGTGATATAATTATTTAATTACCAATTACTAATTAATAAGTTTATATACGATATTACAGGTGCAGTAATGGATTTTAACTAATAAATTTCAACGTAAAAATATATGTTGCAGGTAAGGATACTTTAGATTGTTTAAATTTGATTGATGGTGATATTATGTGAAAAGTCAAAATAGTTATTGTTTTGGAGTTACATTGATGCATGCATATTTATATTACTTTTCCCGCTATTTTACATGATTCTTTTTAGATAAACATAATATTCTTCCAATTTTTTTTTTTAGGAACATTGTTATTTTTCATTTTTCTAAAAATCCCTGAGCGTACCTTCAACAATTTAGGCATTAACATTTTTAACCTATTATATCAGGTATGGATGTATGGTTTGGTGGAAAGAAGCTCCAACAGTATAATGTTGTACCCCCTGTGGAAAACATGTCAAATAATGTTCATTTCATACCCATTATTGAGCGGCATGTACAGTGACAGAAGGACAGCTTATTTGTTTGGTGCCTTCTGGGTGCCCTACTTGGGTGTGTCGGGAGGCTGCGTCCTGTGAACGTTGCCTTTGCCTTGTTGATCTTTATTCTGGTTTTTTTATTGTCATTTGAATGAAATAGGAAACAAGAATTTGTCCGTATTCCATAAATATGCAATTCTGAGATAATACAAGAATGTTGAAATAGAACTACTTACTGTCCAAACCAACAGAATTAAGGGTGCTTAGAAGTATGCTAAGAAATATTTTCGCAAAATGTCTGGTACACAAGCCACACAAAGGGACGGGCATCTAGCTGAGGTGATGTGGAGGTCCGAGGTGAAGGGAAATAGGTACTAAAAACTGTTTGATATGAGGTCAGTCTACACATTGGAAGGGTCACCGGATTACAAGTATAGCACTGGAACAGTAGTCGGTAACCTTAGTGGTTGGAGCTTACCGCCGGAGTTGATGAAACAAGCTCTGCAGGGGGGACATGAGGCAGGAGTGATTGCTGTTGA